AATTGATTCCAGGTTGTTCATTTCAACTTTGCCCTGCTTCCAAGGATTTTATATATCCCATAATATGCAGATTCTCAAGTCCCCAGTAGGTGCAATTGTAGAGGTTAATTGAACCATTTAAATTTGAATGTGGCCTCATTAATCCATGCAATCTTTGTTGTAAAATGGGCATCTTCTACACATTGTGCTAAGTACCACTCAATACTTCATGCTTCAGTTTGGATCATTGTCATTAATAGCATGGACTAATCTAGGAATGTAACTTTTCATTAGCAGCACTTTAAAATGTGTTGGACAGAAGATTTTGAAATACCATTTTCATGACTTGCTTACTGCACAGATATTCTTGGACTTTTGTGATATGTTTACAGTACTCTTTCTTGCTTTGTGGAGCTTGTTGATATACGTGGTCTTCTGGAATGCTTCTCTTGGATATTCTGAACATTTCCATTGGCTTCAAACATTAGCATTTTAGAATGAATTTCCTTTCTTCAAAGCTTAGTTTGACTGCCATCATTTATTCTAATGGGTTTAACCTGGAAAGAAAATAAAGTTTCATTTAAGCTATCCTTTTTTAAAAATAAGTATAATTTTTTTTTTTTGGGGGCACTTTGTGTGTATATATATATATATATATATATATATATATATATATATTTTTCCAATAGTTGAATTGAGGTGTTTAGTCTTGTTTCATCTAAAATTTTTTAACAAGATGAAATGAGACTAAACACCTCAATTCAACTTAATTTTAATAATTATTTGGATGGTTTCATCTCTCATTTTTGAAACATGAGAACTTTATGTAAAAAGGAATCATATTTTTAAACAAAAAATATTATAATAAAGCTCTACTTATGTATGGAGCACTGTCTTAAAAATAAAAACAAAAATACTAAGGAACTCCAGATTATGCACCCAACATCTTCTTTTCTATTTTCTGCATACCTGCGCACTTTTTATATATATATATATATATATATATATAATATTCAATATTCATTCTGAATGAAGGTTTTTAGAAAACCTTAATTTGAAAGAGATGAATATTTAAATATATTTATGAAATAAATTATAGCCTAGATGGATTTTTTTAAGGATTTTCTTGACTTGTTATATTGTTCTGTTTTTGACATTGAGAATTCTTTGGATTAATGTCCTCCTTGAATTATCTCTACCAATTGGTATTATATATATATATATATATATATATATATATATATATATATAATTAATAGCTTTGGTGTACAAACAGATTTTGACATTAAATTTTAAGGTAAGAAAGTGTGTCTTACACACTGAAACATGTAGTAGTTAATTTCAACATTTCCTGAAGGTCACATGAGTTTAAGTCATATGAGGAAGGTTAGAGAGCACAATGGCTGAAAATTATGATAACAGCAAAGATGAGGACATTACTCCGAATACGAAAAACATGGGAATTCAGAAGAAAATGTTTTGCTATTATCTGTTGGTTTCACTATCCTCGTCCAATCCATCTTCTATAAATTTCATGCTTCTTGCATATACTGATGTTGATGACCACTATATTTAGTGGTGGGGATGGCTAAAAGCAAACTCTAAATTTCAAGACTTGCAATTTTCGACTTTGACTTTGGCAATATTTCCATACTAAGAATATCTTTGGCAGTTGCAAAGTTATATTTAACTTGGCTGTTCACTGCCAAGCTTACCAAAATGTCTGCACTTTACACTCGTAATTTGACTTTTTGGGAAAATAGAAAAAAAAATTTTGTGTTGCAGTGGGAGGAGGAGATAATTATCTACCTAGGTTAATGTGCTCTATTTAATATATCTTTGTTGGGTAAATATAGAACTGAATTGGGGTCTGCAATATTTGTGTACTTGACTGCTCCAAGAGTTTCTTGGTGCAGGTTATATTTGCCCCAGATGCATCTTGATGGCTTTGGTTTCAGTTTTCTTGTTTTTTTCAACTTAGTATCTCACTATTATATATATATATATATATATATATATATATATGCATGATGGAGTACTGGATTGAGAAATCAGAGAGCTGAGTTCGAATTCCAGTCTGATCCTTTACATTCACTTACATGTTAATGCTCTTGGGAAAGCTATGAATCCTCTTTTTCTCCCCCAAACTATGGGTAAATAGCAGGACAGACTAGGTTCTGTAGCCTTGGATGGCAACTGGTCTAGGAGGAGGACAACTCTGAATTCAAAACCTGCAGAGTGTTGTTTGGACAACTTTTCGCACAAGGTGCACCAGTTCTCTGTATTCAGCTGTTCAAAAAGTGTGGTTGGTTCTGCACAAAGCCTTCACCACTATAATCAAATCTTATATGCAGGTGTCTGGCTGTTGGTTCCTAGGAACAGAGTTGCTTGATCCTCATATGTCGAAAAAAATGACAGGAGAGTCTAGCATATATATTAATTAAAGAAAGCCAAAACCATTGATGGAACCAACAGACAATTTGCCAAAACCTAAAACTCTTATCCAGATAAAGTGCTCAAAGCCTAGATTGCCTAGATAGAGCAAAAACGCTTAGCAACGTTAAATCCTGAGAAAGGATGGACCAAGTTGTAACCTGCATTTCACACTTGTTCAATCTTCAGATAACTTGAATGCCTTGTAGGCATTCATGATGTTTTGGCCATTGTATGCTCTGGCCTTCTTCCGATGATATACATTGGAATTTCAAATCAAACTCTTTATTTCGTCCACATGGATAGACTGTTCTAGTTTCACATACCATGCCTTTTCTGGATATTTCAATTTCAGTTATTTTCTTTTAGTAACACAACTCTCCAACTTCTTGTTCAACTCTGCTGTGGCTTGGTATTGAACTCACAACTCTTTGGGTCAGGTCATTGGATTACTTCAACCAATGTTTTTTTGCACAGGGACAACGTATAGCAACTGAAGAAGTTTGGATTGTACAATGGCTAAAATGTGAATATGACAATAATAATGAGTACAACAGTCCAAATAATGTAAATCTTCATGTAAGTTTTAATTACTTAGATTATGAACAAAGATGAATGGAATAAGAACATAATTTCTATGGATAGCCATTTATTTGCTAATTGTAATATACAAATTATGACACACAGGAAAAAATAAAAGCAAAAAGCTGATTCTATTACTTCAACTAATGTTTTTTCCACTGGACTATGTATCCTTGAGGAACCAGAACAATCTACCCTGTGGATGAAAGAAAGGGTTTACTTCAAAATTCCTACATATATCACCTGAAGAAGGCCGGAGCATACAATGATCAAAATGTTGTGAATATAACAAAAAAAGAGGACAACAGTCTGAACAATGTAAATAGTTACAATACCTCATCTCTGAAATATAGACAAATATTCAGAGTGATGCCGTGTTGTGAAGTGACTTCGCAGTGGAGGCTTGTATTTGTACTAAATCGGTCCTAAAATAGGTTTGACGTACAAAACATTAGGAACTTGATATAATAGGTATTATGGAGAGTAATCTTGTTGTGGTCGCTGATACTTTCGTATTTGACTAACTGTCATCTGACATCGACTGACCCTAGTTTCTATTACTACTCCTACTTATATTAGGTGGGACAGTCTATTGACTATAGAATAGGTGTGTTTCACCATAACAGTTGTCAACTTTGTCATCAGCAATGATGGGGACGTTGGTCTGAATGTAATTAATGTAAATATTACAGATTTTGTCTGATTTTTAGGGGTTTGTTTTTTTTTGGGGGGGGGGTTAATATCTCTTATTATATTCCATTCTGTTTTTAATCATTTAACCCAAAACAAGGCTATAAAGTCACTAGGATGCAAGAGATTACGGAGTATTAGAGAATACGAGAAAAAACTACCATTAAGGAGAGATAACAATAAAAGAATAAGAATTAAGAAAACATGATAATGATTGACATTACATTTAAACTTTTGAACCAAGCCCTTTATTTCATCTGTTCAGATAGTTCTAGTTCCACGTGCCATGTCTTTCTTAGTTTCACTTATTTCCATTTAGCAACTCCTCTCTCTAAGTTTTTGTTCATCTCTGTTATGGTTAGGTATTAACTCACAACTCTTTGGGTCAAGTCACTGGAGTACTTCAACCAATGCTTTTATCCATTTGGTCATATGTCCTTGGCAACAACTTGTATCACCTGAAGAAGGCCAGAGTGTACAATGAACGAAACATTGAGAATATGGCAATAGAGATAAGAACAACAATCCGAACAATAAATAGTGTAAATATTTATATAAGTTCTAATTACTCAGATTATGAACAAAGATAAATGGAACGAGAATGTCATTTCTATGGATATCCATTTATTTGTGGATTGTAACATACAATTTAAAACAGACAGGAAAAAATAAAAGCAAAAAGCTGATGCCATTTATTGCTCTTTGCTGAGCTTAATGTTTTTTTAGTGGAGGCTGAAGCATTTTGGAGAAGAGTTTGTTAATGAGATCTGTAAGCCTCTCCTCTCTGTAGCCCTGAGGTGATTTACATTCACATGATTTACCCTGGAGAAGTTATGTGGTAGGAAAGGAGAAAAACAAAAAAAATCAGCCTTTGACCAGAAGTTTGGATACCTGGTAGCAATACTCGTCTGTGCATCATTTTAGCTTCAGTGACATGCTGAAAAGATGAGTAATTCTTCAACCAAACTTGGAATCCATCACCTGATATACAACAATAATGAAAGGATCCAAGATCTAGTTAGGTATGGCTACATTAATAATCCTCTGCAAAGCACGATTCCAAATTATCACAAACAAATTTCAAATGTTCAGGAAAACCTATATAATTTGGGTCTGAAATTTCCTCAGAAATTACTTGCTTACTGTACAATCACTGAAGTTAAGCAATGTAGAGCTTGATCAGTACCTAGATGGGTTACCTCTTGAGAATACCAAGTGCTGTAAGTTTGGATGTGTGGTTGGTATAATGGGTAATTGCTCAGGATTGTTAATCGAATCGCCGAGTTCCAATTCCAGTTGTGTTTGTTATATTCACTTACACTGGTTCTCATACAATCACTGAAGTTAAGCATCACCAAGCCTGGTCAGTACCTAGATGGGTGAGCTTTTAGGAATACCAGGTGCTGTAAGCTTGAATGTGTGGCTGATGTAATGGATAATGGCTAGGAATTGTTAATCAAGTTTCAATTCCAATTGGGTTCGTTATATTCACTTATGCATAAATAGCCTTGGGAATGGTATGAATCCACCTCTTCTGCTCCCACCTATGGGTTAATTAGCAAGACTTTTATCAGTAAAACCATTACCCCCCCCCCCAAAAAAATTGGGGGGGCTTTAAATAACCTGCAAAACTGTAGAAATAAATAAATAAATGAATCTGTCAATATTTACTAACCCCCACCCACAAGGGTACATGTGGCACAAGGCCGAGTTTAACGTGGGTCATCCGAGCCCGTAAATAAATGAATCAGTTAAACAGAAAACAATTGCTGGTTGTTGAAAATGATGCAAACTGTTGGATATGGTGACGAAGTTGCATTTTCTCAAAAAAATAAAAGAAATAATATGTCTAGCATCAATAATGGAAAAATTCTTTCCCCGAAGTTGAAAATTCATGTTGTTAATTAGAAAAAAAAAACCATGTAAAAAGAAAAATGCTAATTTTTTTATTTTTTTTTTTTTTTTTTTGCCTTTCAACTTATTTGCCATTGAGTTCACAAATAATTCCATGAGTCAGCACAAATGGTTATTTTTGAAAGCCACTGAACAGTAATTAAAGTGAAACAGTCTCTTAGCATTAATGATTTCATGGATAGTCTCACCACTACAAAAGAAATCGGTGTCAAATCAAATGCCTACTGACTGCCAAAACAAAAAGATGAACACCCACCACAGGCAGTCAAACTGCTATTGTTCTATATACTTATGTACTGCCCAGTACAGGAATTGATCTCACAATCACCAGCTAAATGAATGTGCACTCTCTGGTTCATCAGTTACTACTCTAGGGAGATTCACGTTTTTTTTTCCAAAAACCAGTTGATTTGGACTATATCCAAATGTGTTTTGGAGAGAATTCTTGGCATACACTGCTCATTCCAATGCTGTTTACATGTTACATTTGGCATCCTCCATTATTTTGTTCAAACCCCACCATTACCAAAGGGTCACTCACTAAGTGTAGTATACATTGGTAGTTGCAAGCTACTAAGTTGCTGATTATTGCTTTAGATTTTCACTAGCCAAATCTCAATCTTAGAAACATTTCTCTTAATAATAATAATTTAGATTGGGGATGAGAGTAGAGTAGTATTTAAAAAAAAAAAATTAAAAAAATTAATCATTTCCATATAAGCAAGGCAATAAAGCCACTAAGATGTAAGGGATTACTGAGTGTTAAGGAGTGTGAGAAAAAAATATTAAGGCAAGAAAACGATAAGACGTAGAATTAAGAAGACCGAAGATAATGCTTGATATTACATTTAAATTTTTGAAGATGAAAGTTGACTTGAAAGCAAGAAGCCAGAAGAAGGTTCTTCAAGTGAGAAGTCCCAGAGAAAAAGCTTTTAGCATAGAACTTACGGTTCCATCTAACCATTTCAACTGTAAAATAATGAGACCTAGCTACTAATCTAGTACTGTACTTAAATTCATAGTCAATGTACCACAGAGGAAAGTAATATTCATTTTAAAAATATCAAAAAGGCCAAAAAAAAAAAAAAAAAAGGTAAAAATGTTATAAGCAAGGATTTATAGCCTGATATTTGAATACCTCTGAATGTATCTGAAAAATTGTTGAATTGTTACATTCCTATATGTAGAATTTTTCTCAATGTTACAAAAGTTATTTTCTTTTTCTTAATTTATTAATTTTTATATTTTATGTTTTAGAATGCACTTATGCCATCAAAAATGACGGCAATTGTTGGAAAGTTTTAAGAGATGCAATGAAACAAGTCTTGAAACAACATAGTGAGAGTCAATAAAGTTGAGATAAAGAATTCACAAGTAAAATTGAGGCCAAAGAATCCATTTAATGCTTTCCCTTTTAATTTTTTTTTGGTGTTATATACATCACTTTTTACTCAATATCTTTTCATGTTAAAAATTTTATGTGTTTAATATAATGGGGAAATGGAATGATCTCTTGGAAGGAAAAAGATTAGAAACTGAATGGAAAAGACAGTAATGACAAAGCCTATTCCAAGACCAAGTTGAAGCATGATGATCACTTAATAGACAAAAGTATCTGTGTGCTTCATGTGAAAGGCTTGAACAAATATGACTGCAATCTAAGAAATATAGGAGTAAAAGAACCTATTAACTAAATGGTTCATTTTGCCGGGGAGCTAATTTTGTCAATTGTATAGATTATTAAAATGAGTAAGGGAAGTAATCGCTGATAAATTTACTAACTAAAGTTGATTTATCTCCCTTCGCACTACAAAGGAGACAAGAAATATATAAATAAATACACATTGATAATTATTATATGGCTTGATTATTTAACAAGCGTCATCATCTTTGCTGCTTGATCATATTTTGGCTGATGGGTCCTTCAACTATCTTCATATGTAGCATTTCTTTTGTGTGTGTGTGTGTGTGTGTGTGTCTAAAAGTTTCTTTCTTCTCTAGGTGCCAGTGTGATGCACACTTGAGTGATCATGTTTCTTTTTCATTCATGATTGACTTAGTAGAAGAATTTCTGCTGGTGGTTGCCGTTACTTTCTGTGGTAGACTGGTGGCCAACCAAGGTTATAGGATCCAGTCCTGATATTTAACACATAACTGGGGGTAGATATGATGGATTTATACCATTCCAAGGGTATTTGCATATAAATGAATGTAATGAATTTGACTCTTCAATTTCTCATTTCAAACTTGTTGATTATACGCACTAACATTCTGCAAAAGTTTACCTTGTTTTTGGGGTTATTTCTGTATGCAAACATGTTTATTTCTCAGTTATTTAAAAACTAGAACTAACTTATTAAAACCTAATGCAATCATGCTAGTTTTATTTTAAACTAGCTTAAAAGCCTCCCTATCAAGTGGCATTTAAGCTAGCTCCTGTGGAGGACCACTGTTGGTTTGGCTATCATCCCAATAGCTAGGGAGGAGTAGATGCAGTAGGCATCAATAAACTCCAAAAGAACTCAAAATTGTTTGTCTATATTTCTGAGATGAGGTATTATGTACAGTATTTACATTAGTCGGACTATTGTCAGATTATGCAAGGTTAAAATATATATTAATATATTATATTATATTCCATAATATAGGTTTTACTTATTTAGCCATTATGTTTCTCTGGCTCTTAGCTCTTAATAGGGCGGCTTTTAAGCTAGCTTATGATAAAACATGCACTGCAGTTTTGGATATGAAAGGAAAATAAGAGTTACTCTTCTTGAACCATGAAAGCAACGATAATGGCTAGTATAATATATTAATATATATTTTTAACCTCACATAATCTGGCAACCCTGAATCTGATCTCAATGAAAATCATTTCCTGTGCCTAACTTTTCAATGGCTTTTGAATGAGCTATGAATCCTTGAAATTGGATCAATGTGAGTGGAGGAGTTGCTTGGAAACACACACACACACACACACACACACACACTGTATTTTATGTATAAGATTTTTTTATTAAAAAGCAGTTTCTTATTGCAACCAACTTAGATGATGTCTCTAATATATGCTCAAATATTACTGTTCATTTCTTTTCATTTCTTTACCAAGAACTTTTTTTTTTCAGAAATTTTGTTAAAGTTAGACTGATTACTATAATTTCTGTTTCTTTTTCTTATCTGTCTTTAATTTGGCAAGAAATATTTACCAAAAAAAAAAAAACTGCCCATACTTAAATATCTTACTATATCCCTATCCATATGGCTTACTTAACCTGCTTTGAACGATATGGATATTAAATTTAAAAAGTCCCAATAAAAAATTAATAATTAATTAGCAATTTTTATCGAAGTTGCTCAGCTATACCATTATAAAAAAAATCTCAAAATCTGCAGAAAGTCAGCATAAACTTGTAGCCATCAAGTCATGACAATCCTATTTAAAAATCTTAAATTCCAGCGGTAACTTGTCAATCATCTTAGGGATATATTATAAAATTCCTTGTCTGTTTGATGAGTTAGTAGCACTTATTTTCCAGTGCTTCTACTTATGTAACTGTTCAGGACTCTGTTCATCAGAGCCGAGCAATTATCAATTTCCTTGCATACTTAGGCTGTTGTTGAAATCTCAGATAACATTTTAAATGAGCCTCCTTCTCGAGTTTTGAGATTCGTGTGAAAATAAGCTGCAGTGATTTGCTTCCTGTTGGAAGATTTGAGTAAACCGGTTGATATTGAGGAGTTGCTTAAGCGTTTCAATATTTTTCAGATTTTGGGAAGGAGGCAAGTGGCAGTTGAAACTAATTATATAAAAAACAAAAGTTGAATATGTGGAGTCAAAATGCAGAACTTCTCTGCACTGGGCCTGTAATGGTGATTCTTTGTAAATTATTAAAAATTTATTCCAGGCTCTTTGGAATGGATTTTTCAAGAAAAGTGATTTTTTTTTTTTTTTTTTTTTTTTTTTTTCTTAATCTTAAGTATTCTATGTCGGAGAAAAATTGAAAAATGAAATACAATTTCTCTTTTTCTCTTTTTTCTCTTTTTCTTTTTTCTCTTTTCTCTTTTAATTTTTTCTCTCTTTTTTTTCTTTTTCTCTTCTCTCTCTTTTTTCTTTCTTTTCTTTTTTCTTTCTCTTTTTCTTTTTTCTCTTTTTTTTTTTTTTCTTTTCTCTCTTTCTTTCTCTTTCTTTTTTTTCTCTCTTTTTCTTTTTCTTTTTTCTCTCTTTCTCTCTTTTTTTTCTTTTTTTTTCTTTTTTCTCTCTTTCTTTCTTTTCTTCTTTCTTTTTCTTTTTCTCTCTTTTCTTTTTCTCTTTTCTTTTTTCTTTTTTTTCTCTTCTCTTTTTTTTCTTTTTTCTTTTTTTTCTTCTTTCTTTTTTTTCTTTCTTTCTTTTTTTTTTTTCTTTTTTCTTTTCTTTTTCTCTTTTTTTTTCTTTTTCTTTTTTCTTTTTTTTTTTTTTTTTTTTTTTTTTTTTTTTCTTTTTTTTTTTTTTTTTTTTT